AATCGTAGCCCGCGCAGGTGATTAGTGATTAGAGCTTGGATTATGCATAGTATACGCATGTGCTATGCAGCTATAGCCGAGAATGATCCTGAGAGAGAGAGACGGCAGTTTGCAAACAAGAACTAGCAATATTACTGTTGCACTAGTAGCTAGGCCAAGTAATAGTTTTCAATCTGATTAGCCAGACTAGATTGGACGGCAATGTCAACACCCTTGCTCCATGAGCGGTTTCTATGCAAACGAAAGTCAGCCCCGTACCGGGCCTAACGGCAAAAGGACAGTGTGCTCATGATGTATGCCCGTGTAGTCTACACCAAGTCACGGGCCACACAGAGGGAAGAGCAAGCCTAATTTGATTGCATCTGCTTGGTGAAACGCTCCGACGCTCCGAATCACTTGAAGGTAAACATAGAAAGGTAGTATGCCATCTTCACTTTGCCGTCTAGCACCACCACTCCACTAGCTAATGAAACACACAAATTGCTCAGAGATCATCTGGTCTCGGCAAGAGGTACAAGCATTAGCTTTGCTCGTGTACATTGAACTTGCGAGGAGTCACTGTTTTCATTTCAGTACAGTTCTGCTCAAGCTTGGCGTAAGGACTCAAGGAGTGTAGCGACATATTCACACAGCGTATTTCAACAAGTGTTGAAGTGAGAAATCGCGCGCCCTATGTATCCTTTTGCCTTTGGGCTGACGCCGCCACGTGTAGGTCTGTCTACCTGTGACTGTGGATGAGCCGGAGTGAGAGTGAGGGGGACTGAGACTCAGGAATGGGAGCATGTGACTACCGGTATGTACTTTTAAAGTTAGTTATGGCCATTCGTGTGATAGAGAAGGATCTAGAGGCAGACAGAGGCTGTAGAGCTGCAGGGAGTAGTAAAATACATATGTATTTTACTACTCCCTGCTGTAGAGTGAGCGTATAATGCATGTACCATCAGACTTGCAATATGGTGTGAAGAAGCCTGTACATGTCGGCTGCTATGTGCAGGATGTGTAGCTACAATTAGCCACTGAAGACTGCAGTACACGGTGCATGTACATTGTAGAACACGCGACAAGTTATGCAGGAAGAGCTCTTTTAATACCTACTGAAGTACTGATCTGCAAGTACACTCAAGTCCATGGTTAGGTTAGACACTATCACCAATAGTACTGGGCCACTATTGGTGCTAGGGCTAGACTCCCTGCCTGCCCCTGGATGCAGGGTGACAGAACCGGCCATTCTACACACAACATTTGCAAGTGTTGCATAATGGAGTTACTGTAGATTGCACGTGGAAGAAGAGCAGTACATCATGCTCTTACTGTGAGTGTTACAGTTCACAGTTCACAGAAGCGACTCCCTTGAGCCTGTCGACTCAGTGTCGAGGTACAACACATCACCTAACAACAATTATGTACATGCAACTTTAAATGACTTACAACTGTTACCTAGAACTACTGTGCATAGTTGCCGCTGGTACATGGTAACATCACTAATACGTTGTTCACACACGCAGCCCCCCCCCCCCCCCCCCCGCAGTACAATGTATGCAGCGGTATGTGGCCAGTTTCCCCACACGCTGAGACCTACACTATAGTCATTATGTCTATTAGCATATTGATATAAGCTCCCAGGGAGCTTTATACTCTTGCTATGAGTACCGGTATGAGTAATCCTGGTACATGTACACCGTGTACCAGTGACCAGGAGCAAGGAGTCGTACCTGGTTTGGGTAGTACGACTCCCTGGTCTATGCGTAATGAATTGGTCCAACAACTTGCACCTGATTAGACCGTCAAGAGGTATGTCCCAAGGTAGGAGAGGTATTATTAAAATGAGTCCTTTTAAAACAGTTAATTGAAAGTGACTCGGTTCGGCCTGTTGGGGCCACGGAAGCTAAACTTAATCGCCTGTTTGCATACTAATCTACTTCAGTAGTCGAGGCGGTAATCCGGTTATCGTGTCTATGAAACGTCCTCCATCTTCTTGAAACTGTGCACGCGCGCAAGCATCTAAGCGGTACTCATCAATAATGATTATGAAGGTACCATCATTCGTATGATCTCGCCTTCCCATGTCTAGGGCAAACGTAGCGTCAATCTTGTCGAAGAGATTTCGAACCTTGTTCAATGTTGAATGCACTGATGGTGAGCGGCATTGTCGCAACACCTATGAGGGGCTGAGCACATAATGAAGTGACATTATGGAAATAATAATCGAAAGCACACTGATATCACCATGCACTGTCATTGTTTGTATCATCGTCCTGTAAATGCATTGCGCGAGTTTGCAATCTCGGAGGGCCGGCTGTGAGGTTTTGGATATGTAATTATTTGTAGCTGTGCTGACTCAACACCAAGGTTTAGGAATTCTCTGCTCCACACTGGTCGATGGGTCGGTGCGGTGACCGCCGTCATCAGTCATCGACAGCTAAACAGTGAGGAAGCGCCGGAACTCGACGGTGATAATGACTAGTCTACAGTGACACTATACTACAGCCATAATGATTACGATCGGCCAGCCGGGTAACACATCGTTACTTCTTCTGTTTTGCAGTTTTAAATACCGATCTGCCCGAGAATATCTTTATGTCATAATGACATTAGTCATTTAGTGTAGCTGTGAACCTGGCACGTCTCAAGAAACACCGGAGCCTCGCGGAGGTGCATTGAACGTGGATGTCGGGAGTTGAGAAGTTGAGAACCCTGCTGACCTTCATTTTGAAGAAGCCGAGCGCTCAGAGCTACTGCTAAGGCTCCCAGAGTCCCTCCTACGCCGAATACTGACTGTACGTGCAGTCTGTACGGAGCTCAAGGGGGTGAGTAGACGAGGCCGAGGGGCTATATCATGGGTAAGCTACGGGCCCGGCACCATTCCACGCCTGTAGACCTAAAATCAGGTAAGACACGTGCCTCATGGTCGACCTGTTCAAAGTGCAGATTGCCACTTCCGGTATAGCCCTGACAGTCAGTGACCAAGGTGACTGTCGACCACCAGCACTGTATGTCAGACTCATAGAGTTGGTGGACAAGCCGTTGATTATCCACTCTCATTGTAATAACAAAGCCCTCAATTCTTTATCCACTGACGATGTTGTTCAGAACAACGAAACGTCTGGAGAAGTACCGCAAATATTTCTATCTTTATTCATCAAATATACCATTCTTTGGTCTAGAAAGAATACTTTTTGATATTACTGTATGTCATGACTGCAGTCTGTCTTGTACTGTTGTAGCATCAGACCATGCCCACTAGTACTGGCACTAGCCCGCGCTGGACGTCTCAAGCTATGCACGCAGATAATGCATTGAACTTTTTGAAGAGAAAATGCTCTTCCAGGGCCCAGTAGATTCTACTTGGCAAGAGAGTGTTAATTAAACAAAGTAGCTGCATATTATACACATCACGTGACATGTACGTATGCTAGTAACTACAGTAGTACTGACTGTAGTAGTGTCGTCCTGTTCCCTCTTTTCTGTTTTTTTCATTTGTCTTTTAAACTCCGACTCTTTTCCCCTTGCGAAGTCGGTGTGTGATTTCCGCAGCTAGCAGTGAACCAGAGTGTGCAATGCGCATCTGGCTGTAGTGTAGCTGCCTAGGCTGTAGTGTAGCTGCCTAGGCTGTAGTGTAGCTGCCTAGGCTGTAGTGTAGCTGCCTAGGCTGTAGTGTAGCTGCCTAGGCTGTAGTGTAGCTGCCTAGGCTGTAGTCCACGAAACATACATACCGGCACTCACTTGAATATTCATTGGCGTTGCTTTAGATGCTAATGGTTGAAAGGGTTTGCCATTGCCCGAGGCGAAACAAGACGCACTTCCCAAACCACAATGATCCCGTGACGTCATGACGTGCATTGCACGGTGGAACACACTACACTCTACAGAGTCCAGACAGTATAGTATCAGTGATCATGGTGATGAAACTGATGATCTTACGCTATGAGATAACGACGTAGGACCTCACTCGTCAGTGCAGTACAGTCTCTCAAGAACAGTGATTGATAAGTCTTCATCATGTGGCACTTCACGTATATACATGTACATAATCAGTTGTACATGAACATTTTACATTGTACAAGTATTATCGCTTTTAACATCGCTCCTCTCCTTAGTCCTAACCCTAGGCACTGGGCAGTATAGTACCGTAGTATCATCAGTGTTGTCTGAGGAGTGGCGAATATCCATGAAACCCCGAGTTCCATTCATTGGTAACTAACTTTACTTGTGCTCTTGGCTCTGTCCTCGTGGCATCGAGCACTTTTTGCAAGGGTCTAGCAACATAACTTGTGCGTGTACATGTCCGAATTGTCCTTCGAACTGTACTAGTTACTCAAGTACAAGGCATAGAGGATGAAGGATTCAGTGTAACTCTGAGCAACATGGAGTCGGAACCTCAGCTGGTATTTTGCCACTCCTATCCCTGCTCCCTGCTTGCAACAGTGCTTTTGCCTCTTGGTACTGGTCACTTGCTTGTGAAGTATTAGTTGTGGTGGACAATGCTAAGCTGCGGGAATGGCTTGATCGTTGGAGCAGTGGAGGGCACATTGTCCCTAGCCCTGAATGGATTGCGGTGTGAAGCCTCCTCGAGTTTCTCAGCATACCAACTACATGTACATGTATCAAACCATGATCATAATACTGCACATTATCCTGATCATGTGGAGTAGGAGTGTAGATCCTTGATGCCATTGATATCATTATGACTGAGGATACAGACTGTCAGTTGTGGTGTGGAAAAACTTGAGAACAAGAACATCAGTGCAGGCAACGACTCATTGCAGTACTGGGCATTGTTTACAGCCCCACCCCATGTGCCGGGCCATGACCTGCTGACTCGGAGATAATTATATCCGTTAGTCAGCAGGCACAAAACGAACATTTCATCAGTATACTGCCGTATCCCTACAATAAGTATATGTATAATATTGATATGTGACTATGTTCACCCACTTCTCTATACGCGAAGACTCCATTGTAGCCATCGACAATACCCATACATCTTCACAACACTCTCCAAACGTCTCTAGGCTACACCAATCACTGAAAGAAAAAGATAAAAGCATCCGAGTTTTCGGGCAAGGGCCATCTTCAGGTTCACCCACAGTTTGTCAAACTCATCACGGGTTATATGGTCGAGAATTATAGAGTTATGTCTTTGCGCTTGTTTTCATCGGATAAAAATCCAGTTTCAAAACAAGAGACCACATTTCAATAAATTAAACCTAGTCAGTTCCATCTAGAACATGCTGCCTAAACTTCATGACAGGAAAGGAACAAAACAGCTTACAATTCATTGCAGCAATTCTACGCTACGCAACACTATAATATCCACAGAGGCATGATGAGATAGGAACTACGCTGCAACACGTCGATTAGCCCTGAGAATCAAAAATCCCCGCTGACATTGAAAAGTGTGACTCGAGGGACTCACTAATGCCGTTGTACAAGCCACCAGCTGGATATATTGTATCACAAAACAAGTTGACAAGATGGTCACACAGACACAGCTATTATTTACTTGCAAGCTGGCTCAAATACTCAAGCAAAATATATTCACATGTGTTACAGTTCAATTGTCCTGTCCATAAATTGTTTTGAATGGTGGCTTGGATGGTAGTTTGGATGTTCATAGAATACTAGTACTAATGTCACCGATTGTGTTGGACACTGTACACTAGTACCGGTACTAGTACTTGTGTTGGACACTAATCCTCTGGGACAGGTGAGTTGTCATCTTCAATGTCTTCACCACCATCATCTTCCTCTTCTCCTTCCTCGTCCTCTTCTCCTTCTTCTCCGTCATTACGAATACCATCGTCATCCTCTTCTTCGGCACCTTCCGCACCCTCATCTCCAACTTGCTCGTCATATTCTTCCTCCCTGCTTCCAGGGGCAGTAGCTTCGTCATCTTCTTCTTCCTCCAGCTCATCTTCATCTTCAGCTACTTCATCATCTCCAGTGTCTTCCTGGCTGTCAACATCGCCTGTAACGTCTGCTTCATCTGTAAGTTGTTCTTGCTCCTCCATGTGTACTTCAGGTGATGCTGCCGATGGCACTGCTGCAGCTCCTGCGGATTCTGGCACGTTTGAATCCACTTTCTTTTGCCGTCGAAAGGCAGTCTGGATTTTGGAGGCAGCTGCGTGCACCTCAGGATCATTTAGGTCGATGTCAATCACCTCCTCAGTTGCAGCCGACTCCTCGTCACCGGTTTCCGTTGGGGCAGAGCTAGTGGTTAGTTCATCTTCACCAGCGCCAACATGATTGCTCTCTCCTGATTTGCGGGGCTTGCCCGGTGCAGTCGAAGGTATATGATCTAGATCATGCTTACCTGCAACCGCAAACACACAGACACACCCACATACACACAAACACACACACACACTCAGAGAACCGTGCCGTTCCACACGTGACCACACTGGAGACTCTGAATAGCAAGAAAATCCAATTTGCAGCTTCTTCATCGACTCCCTGTGATCTGTACTGTCAGCGTGAAATGCCCAATGTCCGCATCACTAACTTTGTGCAATTTCTCAGAACCAGCGAGTTTGTGATGGCAAATGTTCGCGACACACTGTACTAACAAGCCTACATCCATGGTGCACTTCTGAAGCTTGATTCATGCTGATAATATTCACGTTATGATCTTCATAGGGAACAAACGATTACTCTTCAACTAATGAACGAGTATTTGTGCTAACAATCGCGCTATCGAATACTCTTTAACTGTACCTATACGTTTGAACAAGAGTAATGTGATGTACAGGGGACATTCGAAACTGTAACGTATGTTGGAAATATATCTCCGCTTTTTAATCGTGATTAGGGGGGTTGATTTACATGTAAATGTTGCTGGTCCCGATGATGGTGACTTTCGTGAATATACCGACTGCATTGAACGAACACATGTGCGACTCAAATACGGCTGAACAGGGTGTTAAAGGGGAAGTATACCCTAAAATCAAATTTTCACCAGTTGTAGTCTTCAGGGTGCTGAGTCGAATGGTCTTGGTCCGAGGAAGCTGAGACGCTCCCTTCCTACTTTAATCCCAATCGAACTCGTGCACTTCCACCGAAACTGGGTGACTGCGCCCTACTAGATGGGGATTTGTATGCAAAATGTCACTAAAAGCGCCATTTCGTTCTTATAAAAGCATGGATGACCGCGATTGGCCCATATGTTGTAGTGTTTTGGACGCTGAGTCGATTGGTTTTGGTCCGAAAAAGCTGCAATGCAGCGTTCCTCCTTTATTCCCAATCGAACATGGTTGAACAAGCGGTCACGTGCTCCTGCGTACACCAGTCACCTGGTCACCGTGCCTGCAGGGTACAACTTACTAGCCTGTTTGACCTTTTTTGGGTGCAGTCCTGTCACTCGAGTTGAACTCGAGTTGAACCTTGGTGTGAAAGTTGTCGCCTGCTGGCGCGGTGACCAGGTGGTTTGGGCACCCAGGAGCACGTGACCACTTGTTCAACCATGTGCGATTGGGAATAAAGGAGGAACGCTGCATCGCAGCCTTTTCGGACCAAAACCAGTACAACTCAGCGTCCAAAAGACTACAACATATGGGCCAATCGCGGCCATTCGTGCTTTTATAAGAACGACATAGCACTTTTCCATATGTCCTTTTCCTTTCTACTTTCATTATTGGCTCAATACCCGAGTTTCAAATAGCACTTTTAGTGAGATTTTGCATACAAATCCCCATCTAGTAGGGCGCAGTCACCCAGTTTCGGTGGAAGTGCGCGGGTTCGATTGGGAGAAAAGAAGGAAGGGAGCGTCGCAGCTTCCTCGGACCAAGACCATTCGACTCAGCACCCAGAAGACTACAACTGGTGAAAATTTGATTTTAGGGTATACTTCCCCTTTAAAATTGTCATGTGCATCGCATTATTCCGTATCTGGAGCCACATTCTCACAGACTTGGAACCTTTCCGGTAGGCTGTTGTTCTCCCAGACCAGGTTGTATTGAATTTGAGGCCTGTTTCCAAGTTAATCGCTTATCTCTGCTGCTACATCTGGTTTTCACCTGTTTCCACTGCACATGTGCATACATCATAAAGTACATACAAGTATAAACAGCTAGCTTGTGTAGCCAGCATGTTGCACCGTCATATCCTACATCAGTCAGTGTATGCCCACACACTGTCAGTCCATGCTGACAACTCTGCATGGGATCCATACAGTGAAATGTGTGCTCCAAGTACCTACGACTATGCGCAGCTAGGCGGCGGGGATGGTAGAATTGGTACGCTTGGTCCGGCCATACGGCCATATGGCAGACCACAAGACCTGACTTCTTGCCAAGGCTCGAGGTCACATGTGTACCCAGCGCCTTATCACAAGTTACACAAACTGTATGAAAGACTATGGTATGATCGGACCAATTAAAACTGCTTCCACCGGTCTTGATGCGTCACTACACCCCATGCAGTTGATCATGCACTACACCCCATGAAGTTGATCATGCACTAAACTCCAACGAATTGTCATCCTCTTTACTTCTACTAACTTCTCGCACTACACTCCAAGTACAGTCATGGCCCGGTGTAAGGTGTAAGGTGTAAGTAAGAAATCTGTCCAAGCGCCAAGGCTCATGCGACCCTCAGAGCGGTTTTGGATCATGCATGACATGGAAACACAGCGCTACTTATGACTTGTGGGTGGGATTTCTTTGGCCACGACTGTACATGCAGACTACACAGTAGTGAGCACAAGCGACTACACTCTTTACTTTTACCAGTGGCGGATCCAGGGGGGGGGGGGGTGGGGGGGAGCAGGGGGCCTGCCCCCCCCCCCTTTGAAAATTTCGACCTTGGTCTAGGATTACAGTAGACTGTAGAATGAGCGCTCGAAATGACTTCGCGAGTCAAGTGGGTCACGCATGCTGGGTACTTATATACGTGTCCGGTGTCACGCACTAGCCAGCGCGCTGTGTACAACTACTGTACGCACTGCGACCTGAGGACATGGCCGCACTTCAAACATGTGAAAAATGTGCCAAAAATGCAGGGCCTGGTACAAAGTGCAGCTAGTGCAGCGATCGCGTTGGGCTGAAGTCCTGCACGCAGTGCACGGTGCTGTCGACTTCGTCCTTCCTTTTTCTTTTTCACTTGTCAGAAACTAAACGCTCTCTCTACTTCGCTTGTAGCCAACGGATTAACTTCAGGACTTTGTTGTCGTTGTTGTTTTGTTTTTTGGGGGGAGGGGGGGGGGGACGGATACCTTGGGCCCCCTCTTCGGCCAAATCCTGGATCCGCCACTGTTTACTTTTCCACCTGGACTCCTCCTTGGTTTCCCTTTTCTCTCTAGCTCTTCTCTTGTACATGTACCTTCTTGCTATTATTCACTTAAAGGGGAAGTTAAGGCAAAAATCAAAACTTCACCAGTTGTAGTCTTCGGGGTGCTGAGTCGAATGGTTGTGGTCCGAGGAAGCTGAGATGCTCCCTTCCTACTTTAATCCCAATCGAATTCGCACACTTCCACCGAAACTGGGTGACTGCGCCCTACTAGATGGGGATTTGTATGCAAAATGTCACTAAAAGCGCCATTTCGTTCTTATAAAAGCATGGATGACCGCGATTGGCCCCTAATTATGTTGTAGTCTTTCGGACGCTGAGTCGATTGGTTTTGGTCCGAAAAAGCCGCGATGCAGCGTTCCTCCTTTATTCCCAATCGAACATGGTTGAACAAGCAGTCCGTGCTCCTGCGTACACCAGTCACCTGGTCACCGTGCCTGCAGGGTACAACTTACTAGCCTGTTGGATTTTTTTTGGGTGCAGTCCTGTCACTCGAGTTGAACTCGAGTTGAACCTTGGTGTGAAAGTTGTCGCCTGCTGGCGTGGTGACCAGGTGATTTGGGCACCCAGGAGCACGTGACCGCTTGTTCAACCATGTTCGATTGGGAATAAAGGAGGAACGCTGCATCGCAGCCTTTTCGGACAAAAATAACCAGTCGACTCAGCATCCAAAAGACTACAACATATGGGCCAATCGCGGTCATCCGTGCTTTTATAAGAACGAAATGGCGCTTTTAGTGACATTTTGCATACAAATCCCCATCTAGTAGGGCGCAGTCACCCAGTTTCGGCGGAAGTGCGCGAGTTCGATTGGGATTCAAGTAGGAAGGGAGCGTCTCAGCTTTCTCGGACGAAGACCATTCGACTCAGCACCCCGAAGACTACAACTTTAATTTTGATTTTTGCCTTTATATATAATAACTTCCCCTTTAATGGTTATGTGGGGCTTTGAATAAAACAAGTCATGTACACAATACAGTACGTCATGCGGGAATCAACACTGACAACAGCACTATCTGTGTGCGACACTCACCGTCCCTGATCTCTAATCTTCTCTGGAAATACTCTGCACAATAGTCCACCAGATTATCGGGCTGATCACGCAGGATTTCACGAGTCAAACTCTCCAGGAGCTCAGCAAAGCCATCGGGCACCGTCAGATGGTGAGGGGCAAATTTCATCGACATGCTCACGAATTCTTTCGTTCAGGCGGTGGATAGGCAGGCACGATGCTAGTAGCTAAATACCTAGCAGTGCAGTGGTGAACTGACTTTATCGAATGGGATTAGATCCTGCGGGAGACGCAGGCCAGGGCACAGCCACTAGTACTGTAGTAGTATTAGTCCTAGCGAATATACTACTACTAGTACTAGGCTTCCCAAAGCCTACCAATACTTTCAAGCCAGCCACTGGGTGAAGGCACCGTCGCGGTGCAATGCTGCCTGGGTTGGATCACAGGGCCGGCCCACTGACAGTGTTCCCAAACTCTGTTCTTATTCAAACCAATCTTCGCAAAGAAATCCCACCACAATGGCTATTTGGTGCACAAACAGTGTGTAAGTGCGACTTGGTTTAGTTAGCGAGCCATGCACGGTGAGCAGGTGAGTGGACCATGGCATACGCATGGGCATGGTGGACCATGGATCCATGACAATAATTATTATTATAATTATTAGGAGTATGGATCTAGGAGTCGATCGATCGCGTATCGCCGTATCGGTCAGAAAATCCACGCTCGTTAGCGCGACCCCACACGGTTGCCGTGGTGACAGGTGTCAAGGCAACTCACTTCAGAAGGGAGTAGTAATGATACGACTCCTCGTTCCAGAGCTTCTGAGTTGCAACCAGGGAGTAGTACTCCCTAGGCCCTGGTTGCAATACCATGGCATGAATACAGTCTACACGGAAAAAAGTACACAGTCTGCACTGCAGCATGCAGTACAGTGATGACAAATACAATGTACATGTACACTATCTGGTCGATGACAACCACCACAACTAATAATTTCATCTCGCGTTGTCTGTGTGCTTATTTGTATCAATCTTGCAGTTTCAAAGTCTGAAGAAAGCAGTGTCGAACAGTCGCTGCTGGGATGACGACTACACCATACATTGTATCTTAGTGGTAGGGCATTTCTCGCCATAAGCGTGGTGGTGCAAATTCTTCCTGAAGACGGCGGCTAGACCAGTTTTGTCGGAATGTTAAAATTCGTTTATTTTATAATTATAATATGACTTCGAATGGCTTAGTATCACCCCGGCCCCCTCTTCTACCGTAGATTAGTGATGGGATCAATCGCTGGTTTCTCTCATTGTTATGGTCGCTGACTAGCTCGTTTATGATCGGAGTCAGTCCACATTCTAAAAAAGCTGCGCTGACAATCGCAAAGCAACATGTTCTTGGGAAGTGTCTCTCTCTTCTTCTTCTTCTTCTTCTTCTTCTTCTTCTTCTTCTTCGGTAACTACAAGTCATAATAAATATGAAAATGACTGTGAGAGTACAGTGTACATGTAGTAGAAACTTAGATCAGTTTCTCCAGTTGCAAGAACTGGATAGCTTCTGATGGTTGTGTGAGAATTGCCTCCCTGACTGACGTGAAGGTACATAGACGTGTAGCTGCTCGACTGCTGTGTCTGGCAGGGCAAGCTAGCAGGAGGTGGGCAGCATCATCGGTATGAGAGCAAAAAGCTAGGTTAGGTGAACAGAAATTTTCGGTGCTCAATATTTTCGGTATGAGAGCAAAAAGCTAGGTTAGGTGAACAGAAATTTTCGGTGCTCAATATTTTCGTCACCAAGGCTGTAAGCCAGTGGACTGCGAGCCGGGATACTGGACACACTACCATGATTGTGTTTTTAGACCTAAGTAAGGCATTCGATCGGGTGAACCACCAGTGCCTCCTCATTTCGCTGCAAGCCAAGGGTATTGGAGGGACAGCACTAGCATGGTTCGCCTCATACCTGTATGATCGTCGGCAGAAAGTCACTCTGCCACATGCTACATCCAGAGTCCTCCCAGTTTCGCGTGGAGTCCCGCAAGGTACTGTTCTGGGTCCTGTACTCTTTAATGTCTATATAAGCCACCTCCCTACCATAGCGGATTCCTTCACCTGTTCCCTTCCCATGTTCGCAGATGATATGACCCTCTACCGAAGTGCCCCCTCACTCAAACTGTGTATTGCCTCCGTCATTCCCTGCTTGAATGTACTATGTGACGAGCTACAAAAGCTCCACATGATGATCAATGTTAAAAAGTCAGGTGTTATGATCATTTCCCCCGGCCGAAACCCCACGACGCACCCAAGTGTCATTAGCCTTCAAGGTGAGCCACTTAATTTTGTGACCGAAACTCGTCTCCTTGGTATCCAAGTTGACAACTGCCTGTCATGGACCAAGCATATCGATGTAATTGTTAGAAAAGTATCCCAGAAGGTGGGTGTCTTACGTCGCACCTTCCGGCAACTGAGCAAACTTGCACGCCGCCAGTACATCCTGTCTGTCGTTCTTCCTGACATTCTGTACTGCATCTGTTCCTTCGTCACACTCATTACTGCGAAGGATCACAATCGTCTAGTAAGCGTGTACAATAGAGCTATCCGAGCGGCTTGTGGGGCTTCGAGCCGGGACAGTATTTCTGGTCTTCTGAAAAACCTTGATGTTAAGCCCCTGGACTACTATTTTCTGGTGTCAACTGGGAAGTTCATTTTCATTAATCATATTCTTCGCCCTTTGCCTGTATTTACATCGTTATTCCCAGCCCCGCAATCTACCCGGAGCACGCGTAATCGCGACACACATGATATCCCTTATTTAAAATGCAGAACAACACTCGGTCAAAAATCCTTTGTGCTTCGTGCTGCTCTGTTTTTTAATGCTCTACCTAATGACTTGAAATCCTCTTTGTTTACCTCTCAGTTCGATCGTGGTTTTAAGCGCTTATTGGATGATCCAGTTTGGTTTGAACGATATCGTGCAATTTTGTTTGACAACGTTGGCAACGTTTAGTCTCTCACCAGCTACATGTATATATTGCCCAGGTTCATTCAGCATACGTTTTTCTTTTCTCTTTATGTTCACCACTCATCCCCCTTTTTTTTCTAAACATTTGAACATTTACACTGATGTATATACATTATTTATTTATTTTTTTTTTATATATTTTTTGGTCCCATCGGCCTCTTCATATTTGTGCAGCTGCACTGTTGAGCTTCCGATGTAAAACAAAATAATAATAATAATAATAATAATAATAATAATAATAATAATAATAATAATAATAATAATAATAATAATAATAATAATAATAATAATAATAATAATAATAATAATAATAATAATAATAATAATAATAATAATAATAATAATAATAATAATAATAATAATAATAATAATAATTTGAAACTCGGATGTTGAGCCATAAATAAATGTAGAAGAGAAAAGGACATATCGATACGAGTTAAGAGTAACTCTCCATCACTGTAACATGATACTATATACAGTCAGAAAGTGCAATAACTAGGCACAAAACTGACAAAGTACTGAAACATTCGACGTCCTGACACCTAGCCTCAACACATCTCCGTAGCGCTAACCGACAGCCTTCCAACTTGGAAGGTTCAAGGTTATGGAAAGACCAAAGAGGGGAAGGCAAGCGCAACGAAAATGAGCAAAAGCTACAGTCCCAACGGAACAAAGAATGTCGATTGTTACTGGACGATGAAGAGACCAGTACGATATTTGACAAAGCGGTCTGTCAGTTTTGTGCCTAGTTATTGCACTTTCTGACTGTATATAGTATCATGTTACAGTGATGGAGAGTTACTCTTAACTCGTATCGATATGTCCTTTTCTCTTCTACATTTATTTATGGCTCAACATCCGAGTTTCAAATTGCACACCTGATGAGCCGTCACGAACCATACGGCGAAACGTACGTCGTGTGAAACAACTTGTTTTGTAGTCAACTAGTCCATCACAATGTCATGCATGAGGAGTACTGTAGGAGTTTGGCTTTCGGCTTGTACAATTCGTTTTCGCAAAGCTTCCCTTTCTTTATTTATCTTTGATATTTATGACCCACCCAAGTTGGGTGGTGTGCTGCTTTGCTGCTTCGAATTGTAGTTAGACCGCTTTGTCAAATATCGTACTGGTCTCTTCATCGTCCAGTAACAATCGACATTCTTTGTTCCGTTGGGACTGTAGCTTTTGCTCATTTTCGTTGCGCTTGCCTTCCCCTCTTTGGTCTTTCCATAACCTTGAACCTTCCAAGTTGGAAGGCTGTCGGTTAGCGCTACGGAGATGTGTTGAGGCTAGGTGTCAGGACGTCGAATGTTTCAGTACTCTGTCAGTTTTGTGCCTAGTTATTGCACTTTCTGACTGTATATAGTATCATGTTACAGTGATGGAGAGTTACTCTTAACTCGTATCGATATGTCCTTTTCTCTTCTACAATAATAATAATAATAATAATAATAATTTTTTACAAGAAGTCGGAGGCGGATAATACTTTAATAACGAAGGTACGTGTTAGGTCGTAAGTATCCACGCAAACACACATCCAGTCAAAATAATGCACTTGTCAAAGTATCCGAACGTTTTCGGTCCCTTCTCATCAAGGATTATACAGGGAATGGCTCAAGTTGGAAAGACTAAAACTTATATAGCGTAAAGATATGAGATAACAACACTCGTGACAAGGTGAAAAAAGTATCAAGTTCAGCACGACACAAAACTCGAAGGACATAATAATAGCGACAAGAACATAGTGAGCAAATTAAGTTACATTGTTAACACCTCGACGAGGAGTAACACCAAACAATTGTAGCGACAACACATTTTCTTTTTGTACGCAAAGTTCAGGATCTAACTTACGGATATACAAAGCTTCTAACACAGCCAGATGCAACGCACATCTACCACGTGACAATATTGAGATCGAGCGGATTCATGTGTTCGTATGACGTGGTCAGCTTATTTACTAACGTGCCACTACGGGAGACCATTGACATCTGCGCAACAACACTGTACCACAATAAGTCCATTACTCCGCCGTCCTTGAACGAAACGGAGTTTGTGAAACTCATGTTAATGGTTACATCTGGCGTTGAGTTTTCATTTGGCAACGTTATGTATAAACAAATAGATGGCGTTGCCATGGGCTCGCCACTTGGTCCTGTATTGGCTAATATATTTGTAGGGTTCTGTGAAGCGTCCATTAGTCCATCATTGTGGCCCTCTATGTACTGTCGTTTTGTAGACGATGTGTACTGTCACGATGAGGATGAGGATGTCTGTGGGACTTTTCTACTAACTCTGAATAGCCTCCATCCGGCGTTGAGATTCACGTCGGAAGCGGAACAAAACGGCAGATTATCCTTCTTGGATGTACAAATTTCACGCAACATTAACACTAAGAGTTTGGACACCACTATCTATAGGAAGCCAACTTTCACCGGCCTATACATTCCGTGGGGGAGCTATACTCCAACGAAATCGAAGAAACATCTTGTGAAAGCGCTAGTTTATCGTGCGCATAGAATATGTTCCCCTCATCTATTGCAGGACGAATTAGACAGACTGACATCAATATTTACGAACAACGGCTATCCAAAGGAA